GCAAAATGTTTTTCAACCACTTCTTGTTTTTCTTCACTTTACTTAAGTTATAAACTCTGGTCTTCACTGCCTTTGACTGTTGTTTAGAGATATTCGTATTGAGCTCTTCGTCCAAACTATACCACAAGAAGACAAACACAAAAGTATTGATAATTAGATGTCAAAAGTTATTACTCGGGAATCGATAACAAAAAACACGAACTTCTTCTCATTGAGAGACCGGTGGACCTGAGCTATGAGTCCGTCCAATCGGAGCGCGTGTTCCAGTCGTTGCAAATACACGGGTTTTGCCATCAATTGGTTGTCCACCGCTCCGGAGGCCGAAGACAACACCCGACCCCCACCGCCACCACCGCCGCCGGTGGCCAACAGATTGCGGTGTCGGCTATTGTTGTTGTCTTTGTGGCCACTGGTTATGTCCGTAGACATGGTGTCAGCGATTGATTAATAGTTAAACGTCTTAAGACACCATTAGGTCACTAAATGGTGATCAAAATGAGTGACAATTAGCAAAACGTATGAATGCATTGAATGAATGCTTTTTTGATTTGTTGTGAATGTAAGCCATGTCTCACTTTCACACTCTCTCTCCCATATACTCCCCCATAGACTCTCCCGTCTCTCTCTCACTACACTGTGTATGCTATGGATGTGCTGTACATATGGTTTGTGTTTGACTGGGATTTTGAAACATCAAAATAGTGCCAAAACTTGTGCTCAAAATCTGTGAACTTTTTTCATATGTTTTGTGATTTTTTTGTTTACATTTTTGTGATTCAATTGTTGTTTTGTTTTGCACTTAATTTGTATTCAATTCAATTGTAAATTAATTTTAAATGTGATTTTGAATTGAATTATGGATTCAATGATTAGTAAAAAGTCATTAATTATTAGTATTAATGATATTTTGGATGAATTAATGGTTGAAAACAAACGACTTTTAAATGAGTTATTGTTTGGAAACAAATGTTTGAATGAATTGAAAACACATTTAATTAAAATTCACTCAAAATATGAAACACTTATNAATTGAAAACACATTTAATTAAAATTCACTCAAAATATGAAACACTTATCGATTCAGAAGACAATCAACACTTCCGGACATTATCTCAACGATTGGATCAAATGAATGACAGAAAGATCTCTTCAGATATTATTGAGATAATGTTTGGAACTGATATTCGGCTGAAGAGATCATCAGATGAACAACAATTGAAGCCAAGAAGTGATGACACAAATGATAAGAGCGAAGACATGAATGAAGACACGGCTGAAGACATCAATGATTTGATTTTGAGACCAAATGTCTCTGAAGTAATAAAAGATAATTGTGTGGAACCGATGAATGGGTTGAATATAGAAAAGCATACGTTAGTCAACAATACATCAAATCCATTGACATCTCAATCCTTACCACAAGAGATGGTAAACGAAGAGATCATTGATATCAGTAATGAAGACTCGATGGAAGACTCAATGCAACCAAAATTGTTGACTGAATTTTTGCCTCAAAGTGTCCGCAGAAGTGAGAGATCTAAGCCATTGGCCAGACATGCAGTGATTTGTCCGCCAAAAGCCGGTCAAAAGACTTTCAATCTTTTGTTATTCTCTGATCCGACGACTCAAGAGATGGACAACAAAGAGATGATTAGAAAGAGAGCCAAAGAATTGGCAGAAAAAGTGAAATTAGAAAAGCTTTTAAATCAACCGATTGTTAAACACAGCGTTGAAGACTCGGCGGAGAAAATGCCATCAAATGAAAGGATATGTCCGCTCGATATCAATGAAAGGAAACAATGCTATGATTTGAAGTCTAAGACATTTATTTGTCCCATAAATGAGTGCCACAAGAGTTTCCGAATAGACGTTTCATTTCGGAAGCACTTCCTCTCAGACCACACCGGAAGGCAATATGTGTGCGATTATGAAGGCTGTGGTAAAGTGTTTAAAGTACAATCTGGGTTAACACAGCATTCACTCATTCATAAGACAATTAAATCATTTAAATGTGATTTCAATGGCTGTCAATATCGAGGCGTTAGTCGACAACATTTGAGACAACATCTGAAGACACACTTAATAACGGAGAGAGTGTTTAAATGTGATGTCAGCGGCTGTGGAAAGGCATATAAGCACAGATCTGATCTATTGGAACACCAGAGGACACATAACACTGAACCGACGTATAAGTGCGGGACCGACGGCTGTAGTGATATGTTTCATAGCCCGCATCAACGGACCAAACATCAGGTTATGGTTCATAACCGACAGCCGTATACTAAACGGGTTTATAAACACCGGTGTCAATGGCCCGGATGTGATTGGATGGGAACCAGTCTGAAAGTACACCAAAGTGTGCACACCGGCGCCAAGCCGTACGCCTGCGATTGGCCCGATTGTGGCAAACGGTTTAGAGTTAAGGATAAACTCGATAATCACCTGAATGTTCACAACAATGTTAAGCCCTACGCTTGTCAATGGCCCGGATGTGAGTACAGGTCCGCCGATAGATGTAATGTTATTAAACATAGAAAACAAGTTCACAAAACTTAAATTAATGTATATTTTTAATTAAAATGCAATTTTGTTTTCATAAATTCAGTGTTAAAATAATTAAAATAAAAATTCATTTTAATTTTATAAATTTTTTGTGTAATATTTGTTTGAAATAAAAATTTATAATTCAATTCAAAGTTTTTATTAATTAATATTGAATATTTCGGACGCATTTACCGGTAATTACAAAAAGTCTAAATTTAAATTATATTTACAAACAAACGATATAAAATCCAGAATTTTATTTATTCTCAAAATTACTTTAATTGTATTTTTTTAGTGCAAACTATTATGAATTTGTATATTTTTATGCATTTGTTGTCGGATTCCGATATTTTATTCATTTTTGTGAATCAATTCTTGAGACTATTTTATTATTAAATGTTTTGATGTATTTATTAAAAAATTAAAATTATAAATCAATTTTTGTGTAATTCATAAAAATATAAACTCACTCTCAGATAACGTGACCGTTATGTGCGGGATATTGCGGTAATTAACAACAGAATACAATAAAATGCAATTTACTCTGTATTACATGAAAGTTTTAAGTTATTTTTAATTTTAAAAAAACTAATTGTGATAAAATATTAGTTTTTATTTGTGAAATAGTTATCCATAAAAGACCTTGAGCATATTATCATATAGGAATATAAGTTGCTTAAGGACACTTAAGAACATTGAGTGTAATATAATCCGGGTTCTTTTGTGCCAAAGGTACAGTATCTCTAATGCTATTAATTAGATGCTAAATATATCCTAAAGTGCCAGAATATATCAATACATTATTCAAATGTTCACTAATAAACATAATCTATAATTATTTATCAATATATGTATTAATAAATTGTTTTTAATTACTAAAATTTATTAGTTAACTAGTTTTTCAACAAGGTAATTTACACTCAAATACTAAATTACATGAATATTATCTAATTGATCTCATAAGTGTTGATCAAATAAACATTTAACATGTTAAATTGTTTATTATCATATATTACAAAGTTTGAGCATAAATGTGATGTTAATATATGGGCAAAAAAGTTGTCGGTTATGTAATCTTATTGATTGATGAAGTGATCAATTGTAAGAGGAAAGTAATCACAGCTAATGGCGTGACCAATAAAAACATGTATTTATTATAATCAATAATATGGTTAAAAACTGAAAAAAGTAAAAACTGAGTGCAAAAAGTGTTGATTTTCATTGAATAAGTAGTTTTGTTTAGACTTCAGTATTAAAACTGCACTCAAAATCAAATCAAAATCAAATGGACTGAAAGTTTATTTGCAATCAGATGTACAAACGGTTTGTATTTATTAATTATTAGTTATGAACGTTTAGTACATCTGATACGATGATGATAAGTGTTTGGATCATGTAGTTGTTCCCTAAAAGTGTTCGTACTCAAAAATTTTATCATATACAATTAAATAAGCTAATTTTTAACCAAACAGTGCACAGTTTAGTAATATTAGTTGATTACATAATAATATTATTTTATTCTTATAGAAATGCAAACATATAATGAATATATCGGTGTATAATCAGGAAATGTGATGAGTTTGTGATGTGTTTCACGATTGGGATGTATAGTATAGTTATATGTGTCGGACAACAAACCCATTATGCAATGAATTGAATTCAATCACGTTTTTTAAATAAAATTTTAAGTAATTGTGAGAATAATTTCTAGTCTATTATACCCTAAAACCTAAAAAAATAAGTTTCTATTAATAAAAATTTCTGATTTTATTTTCCACGAATGAAATTGTGAATAATATTTTGTTTCAAAAGTCTTATCGCATTTGCGATGAGCTATAAAACTGATAATAATGTGGTGACTGAATGAACGATGTTAATTTTATTAATGTTATT